ACAACGAACCGCAAGTCGCACGACCCACTATTTGTGGCTATTCCACGAGGATATGCACTGATGAAAACGTATGCCCTTTTGAATTTAAGCTATTCTTGCGATTTAAAATCGATATGCGAAAGGGCATACTTATATGTTATCGCATCATTATGAAAAAAAAAAAAAAAAAAATTCTTTGAAAATTCATAACTTTTGTATGCCCCAACTACCTGCCGACAAGAACACGGTGCATTAGTATCGGCAGAGAAAGATCTACCACATAAAAAAACGGTATCTTATGACACCACATTGGGGGGGTAGCTCTTAGATTATCAGTGTAGTGTCGGTCGAGAATGAAAATATTTACCTAAGACTTGTAAATGAAGCATTGACTAGATTGACTAGCAGTATCAGAGAATGAAGTGAAAACAAGGACGACCCCTTCGGTAAACTTCAATCTTTGTTACAACTAGTTATTGAAACGTATGAAGTAGTGGATAAACGATCAATTCTTCAGGACATTGAACTGTAAATACTTTAGCATGTATTTTATCGCAACGCCATTCTTCTAAATTATTGGTTTCCTCTACAATTTTAATGCCTAGTGAACTGCTCTGAATTCCTGACGCAACAAATGAATCTTTCTTCATTTCACATGTTTTTCCAGTGATATACATATATATATATTCTTATTAGGTTTGAAAATACTAACAACATTAATGACGGTACCATAATTAAACATAACGCAACTATTTCTGTCTCGTTGTAAATGAAGCATTGACTAGCAGTATCAGAGAATGAAGTGAAAACAAGGACAACCCCTTCGGTAAACTTCAATCTTTGTTACAACTAGTTATTGAAACGTATGAAGTAGTGGATAAACGATCAATTCTTCAGGACATTGAACTGTAAATACTGTAGCATGTATTTTATCGCAACGCCATTCTTCTAAATTATTGGTTTCCTCTACAATGTTAATGCCTAGTGAACTGCTCTGAATTCCTGAAGCAACAAATGAATCTTTCTTCATTTCACATGTTTTTCCAGTGATATACATATATATATATTCTTATTAGGTTTGAAAATACTAACAACATTAATGACGGTACCATAATTAAACATAACGCAACTATTTCTGTCTCGTTGTAAATGAAGCATTGACTAGCAGTATCAGAGAATGAAGTGAAAACAAGGACAACCCCTTCGGTAAACTTCAATCTTTGTTACAACTAGTTATTGAAACGTATGAAGTAGTGGATAAACGATCAATCCTTCAGTACATTGAACTTTAAATACTTTAGCATGTATTTTATCACAAGGCCATTCTCCTAAATTATTGGTTTCCTTTACAATTTTAATGCCTAGTGAACTGCTCTTAATTCCTGACGCAACAAATAAATCTTTCTTCATTTCACATCTTTTTCCAGTGATATATATATTCTTATTAGTTTTGAAAACACTAACAACATTAATGATGATACCATCATTTAACATAACCCAACTATTTCTGCTATCTGTGATATCAATTCGAAACGTGTCTGATTTTAAAATTTTATAATAATATGCATTTGGGTGGTCATTGACAATTACAGCGTTGGATGTCAGTTTTTCAACATCAAACTTACTATTCTTAAAAGCATATTGACTTTTTAAATTACTTGTTGACTCATATTCAGACAACCTTCTAGAAATTTGTTGCAACGGTTTCTCACCTTTTCTTATATATTTCTTTATAGAACAAATATAATTCTCGAATGGAAATGCGCTAAAGCTTTCAACTGTACCAAATTTTTCGACGTCTTTGCATAAATGTCCTATATTGTGGACATTGTAAGTAACATTGTTTTTCCCATACAATGTTTGAAATCCAAAAATAAATTTCATTGCTAAGGTTTGACATAATTTTATATTATTTTTATCACGAACCAATATTTGATTGCTGAGTATTATCATAATTATATGAAGTGTTAAAAAATTTTCATATACTGATGGATGAAGTACATCTTTGAGTATAAACGGACCAAAATACAGCAAAAAATGTCTAAATTCAGTTGCCTTCCACTTTTTCCAGTAGTCCAAAGATCTTGAACGTCTATTAAATTCAAATGGTAACATGTTCTTTAAATATTCCAGTCTCTTTGAAATTTTGTTAATCTTATTAATATTGAGTCTACATATTCTTCTTATTCTTTCTTTGTCACCAATCCAGTGTCTAATTAACTGCTTCATTATACCTAAATACACTAAGTGCATGACATCTAAAACTACATTTGAAACAAGACCAAAGTAACGTAACCGTCGAAAAATCGTTTCCCCACGTTGATAATTGTCAATATAATGCATGCTATTAAATTCATCATCATTTCTCAAGAAATCGTTGCAATATCTGTTTAATTCTTCTATGTTATCTGTGGGAAAGCAAACTGATGAAATATATACACCTTCAATAGTACATTTACTACAACTATAGTAACCCGAGTGACCTTTAGTACATAAAACGAAAGATTTAGCTGGAGCGTCCAAAATAAGTCTATCTAATCTTATTTTGTATAGCTTATTATTATATGAAAATCCATTGCTTATTAAATTTTCTAATTCATCTACAGTATTTTTTAAAAATATATTATGATCTTTCGGCTTTTTAGTACCACAATAGATGCCAACTCCATATACAGTATCTAGTTCAATATCTTTCATCGATATGATCCACAGACCTCTCTCAGATGAACTGCCAACAAGTGGAGCCCCATCTATATTCATTGACACTTTTACAGTATCGAAAACATCCTTACGCAAAAGACGAGCTTCGATAATTTTTTTAATTCCATTTTCAACACCTAGATGACAATACTCGCCACTATCCATATCGATAATATTAGTGGATTTTGGAGTTTTTAACAGTGTACGCGGATCTTTAGGGAACGGAGTACTAGTATTCTTATTTAATATCGCTAATAATAATTTCAAATGATCATGTTCAATTAGACAATCCTTGGCCCACTTAATTATTTCCTTCCGAAAATTTTCATCGTCATTAGTTGTAGGATTTGGCATTGTTACATCAAAACCATCATCCGAATGTACGTCTGAAATGGATTCCGCATCACTATTGCTAAACCGATATGCATCAGAAGAAGAGTATGAGTTAGTATCACTGTCGGTGGCATCACCATCGTCATAGTTATCGTCATTCTCATCACTTGAAAGAACATATTCAGGCTGAACTTCAAGTGCGCTTGTTGAGAAGTTGTTGTGCGCGAAAAATTGACTAAACAAATTTTCGTGAGATTCATCGCTATCATTTTCTCTGGTTTCAGGACATTCACTTGTTAAAATATCTGGTTCAAATGTTTGATCATTACATGGGGTACTACAACCCGCCTTAGCATTTGGAATAGAAGATGTAGAACGAAGGTATTCAATATTTTGAAGGTCGTACTCAGTTGTTTTTTTAGATAACCTTCTAATATGACGGTTGCTTTCTGGAGGGACTCCTTTTCTCTTCCTTGGCATTTGGTTCAATTCAACTAAATAAAAAAAAAATCAATAACGCTTTTATGCTTCAACGTTGGATATAAACATTCAAGAAACGTAAGTTACTTTAAGGGGACCAGAGGGTGTCTCGTAGTGAAAAATTGACACTTTGTTTATTGCCGCGTAGAAATCGTTCTACTAAAGATATCGATGTAAGACTTTTTTCAGCTGAAAGAATTCTATATAAGCTTTGATTTTTTTGCTACAAGTTCCAGAATAATCATTGTACACCTAATATGGACACAATAAAGACCAAGCTCTATTTTTCAAAAAATGGGGCTTTGCCACGCCTTTCTGAACGCCATAGTGGACAAAAATCGTTTTGTGAGAGCTCATTTTTTTTTGTTATGAACCGGACTACAGAATGAGCGGAGCACTTTTCTAAAAAAGATAATTCTTCCCATTTTTTGAGGATAATTTGCAAAAAAAATTTTTTTGAAAAATTAAAATTTCATATATTGGCTCAAAAAAATAGGAAGAATTATCTTTTTTATAAAAGTGCTCTGCTCATTCTCTAGTCCGATTCATAACAAAAAAAAATGAGCTCTCACAAAACGATTTTTGTCCACTCTGGCGTTCAGAAAGGCGTGGCAAAGCCCCATTTTTTGAAAAATAGAGCTTGGTCTTTGTTGTGTCCATATTAGGTGTACAATGATTATTCTGGAACTTATAACAAAGAAAATGAAAGCTTATATAGAATACTTTCAGCTGAAAAAAGTCCTACATCGATATCTTCAGTAGAATGATTTCTACACGGCAATAAACAAATGTTAGCGATTTACACGTATAGAACAAGTGTGCGTGCGTGTGTGTACGACCGGCGGGCGAGAGAGAACGATACAGTTCCAGGGACGATTCCGAATTGCGCTGATAGAGCGTGCGAGCGAATCAAGCCAAGAGAGGGTAGTCGGGATGCGAAGGCATTTGGCCGAGAAGCGCGAGTTATCCCCCCTCCCTCGAGACTCAAGCGAGTTGGGCCGTTGGCGTGGGTCAGAGAGGTCTGAGACGCGACAAAGGTCGGATGCGTGTAGGACTCGACGGCTGAGTGCCGAATAGTTGTAAGCCCTTGTATTCATATCTTTTAATTATTCATTAAAACTACTTAATTCAATTGATACATTTGATATATTGTGCAAAGGAAGCTAAAATCTATCGTAATGCAATGACTGTAGCACATTTTTTTATTTCGTCGAAAATTTCTTTTCATTCCCATAAAAATATGTAAAAACATCAGTTTTTCGGATATTTCAAAGATAAATCAATGTTGTAATTGTTTCTTCAACGTACAACTAAGAATTATCCTTACAAGGCAAATATGATGAAAAATATATTGGATAAGGAGGATACTGTAAATCAAGTAATTCTAACCAATGTTTTCCAAGACTTCTCTCAGCCTGACATAACAGACTACACAATTCTACATTGCAGCAATCAAGAGAGATGTTGAGGCATTCAAAATCTTAATAGACAATAGAGCTGATTTCACGATGCAAAATGCGCATGAATGTACAGTGCTTCACTACCTTTTTGAGTGCACAGCTGATAATAGCAGAATTGAACTGATAAATTATGCATTATCAGCCCATTTAAAATTAGCAAATTCAAGTAATCCTTGTAACAACAATGGTATTACCCACTTTCACATTACGTGCATGGTCAACAATACCCAAGCAGTGCAGTTCTTTCTGGAAAATGCAGCATCTGTGCGTCTAATTGTGAAAATGGACTCGCCTAGATTTCCAGGCTACAGCTCTTTACACTTCGCTTCTGAGGGTTGTAGCATTGAGACAATAAAACTGCTTTTAAAGAATGATATAGATATAAATGTAAAAAATGCTCAAGGCAGAACAGCTTTCCATATTTTTGTACAACAAAAAATTAATTCATGTGATTCTTTGAGATACAGCGAAATAGATGCCACCACAGTGGTTTTGGACAAAATTGATTTGATGGATAACGCAACCAATCTGTTGCTACCAGACAATGGTATAGATAACGTGGGTTTTTCTCAGTTCCATAGTGCATGCATAATGCGAGAATCTACAGTAGCTGAAGATCTTATAGAGCAAGTGACAGACATTAATCGTTGTGTTCTGTTTGACTCTCCAGTATGGCCTGGTTATACAGGTCTTCATTTTGCTGCTCATTGTAACATGAAAATCTTTCAAATGCTTGTGCAAAAGGGAGCATCAATTGAAATGAAAAATGCAAAAGGCTTCACCCCATTAGACATTTATTGTGAAAAGTGCAAACCCCAGGACCTGTTAAAAATCTTGAGATTAAAATCAGAGAGGCTCGATTCAAAATTTATCAATGACAAAATTAAATTGATTAAATTGATTGATGCCATGTGTGCAGAACCAGTACAATTTCGTTTTTATCTTGAAGTAGCTGTAGATGACATCAATGTACAAGTGCTTGAAAATCCACCATTTTGGGTAGGTTTTACGTCTCTTCACTTTGCAGTTCTCACATCCAGATACACTGACACCCACATGATCCAATTGTGTCTCAATTGCCAGGCGAATGTTTCCATTCAAGACGCTCACGGCCGCACAGCAATCCATCTAGCCTTTCGCCTCAACAAAATCGAATCAACTATTTTACTTCTGAAGTATTACCGCGCCACAGAGGATGTCATCGACAAAGACGGGCTGTCACTTGATCATATTGTTAAGGTGGTAGTCGGAAACATGTCAGCAGAGAGGTGGCGCACCGGACGATAAGTGCTCTCCCTATTCTCGTTCTCTCCCACCACCAGACCTTCACGCTCGCGACGATCTCCGCGGCGCCGCTGCCGATATTTATTCCAGTTCGGACCGCGCTCGCGCTTACACGTATTTCTATTATAGTTAAATAAAGGCGATCACTCGACGGAGTTTTACGAATATGTAAAACAGTGTATTTATTTAAATCAACCTCATATCTAACCAAACAGAATCAATATTACCTGGAGACCGGTATGTTGGGACTATATTGTCAGTAAGAGCTGATAAAATTGCAAAGCATGGCGTGAAGATTGATGTGCTATGAGAATAGGAGGTACGAAAGCAAACTTTGATTCGAACGTAAATGCAAAAATAAATTTGGAAATTGCACGAAGGCCAAGCCAAACGTTTGAAAGGGTTAGACACTGATTTTGATGAAAAAAAATCGATTTTTTTTATTGACTTTTCTTTTAGGAAATGTAACGTATAATAAGAAGCTGTTTTTCCATTTTTTTTAAATTTCAATTCATTAGGAAAAGCACAGATAGACGTAAAAAGAGGGAGTGGGAAAAGAATAAAATATTCGATATAGAAGCACATAGGAAAGAAAATAATCCACGCGAGATGTGCCGGGGAATCAATTCTATGAGAAAAGGTTTCCAAAGTAGAACAAAAGTAATGAGGAATGAAAATGATAATTTAGTTGCAGACGCGACCGAAAGCCTAAATCTATGGAAAAATTATTTTGACAAGTTGCTGAACGTACGCAAAACCCCAGTTGAAGGAAACTTTGGCGAAATTCACACTTTCAACCTCCAAGTAGATGAACCTAGTGTTGGCGAAATAGAATCAGCGATAAAGAAACTGAAAAATAATAAAGCCGCTAGTATCGACAACTTGCAGTCTAAGCTGATAAAGAACGGGGGCCCTTCCCTCACAGAACATATTTGCAAATGAATACGCGCTATCTGGAGAACAGAACACTTACCGAAAGAATTGAATACTTCTATCATTATACCAATTTACAAAAAAGAAGATAAAACTGACTGTATCAACTATCGGGAAATTTCAGTTGTCCCTGCATGCTATAAAATCTTACCCAATGTCATATCAGCTACATTAACCCCTTATGCTGAGGAAATTATTGGAGATTACCAGTGTGGATTCCGCCGAAATCGATCTACAAGCGATCAAATGTTCACGATAAGACAATTGCTAGAAAAAAATGGAAATTCTTAGGATCAAACAGAGTATCCACTCAAATGTTTTTAGAATATTTCAAGCAATTTTTCAATTGGGCAGAAATTGATAACTACCAAAATTTTTTAAATATTTAAAACGTTCTGCAAAAATCCTTAAGTATTCTTTCAGTAGTTCTAAGAACTTTTTCTTCTTTTCCACTATCTATAAATATTGACAGTTTTTGCGAAAAAAATTAACCAATGTCTTAGCACAAATTGTGTATCAATGCGCCATTTTGAGTATACTAAGAAAAAAAATTGTTCCCTGAACCGTGTATTATAAAAGCTAAGAAATTTATTCCATCGATTATTGAGGTTGCAAGCGGGTTACAGGTTGGAAACCATTCTGAAACAACGAATTTATAAAAAAAAAATATGAAAAGTAGTTTTTTGGTTTTTTTAAACAAAATTTTTTCGGATTTCACAACCCAGTCGAACCTGCCGCACTGCACAGAGTCTGACCTGCCGCAAATTAAGTACTTTTAGAGCATGATACCTTTTGACAAAGTCCAAAATCAAAAGACTTTTAAGAAAGAACCAGTAAAAATGAGCCTTTTCTAAAAGCCTTTCGATTTTAGACCCTGTAAAAATACATTTTATTTTTAAAAGGTATTGTCTAAACTCATCAGATTTGAACTCTTTATATATAATCAAATTTGTCAACATGGCATAAATCAAAATTGGTCAAGATCGAGAAAACTAAGAACTGTTCACGCTGAATTTAATAAGAAGTATATAAAAAATAATTTATTTCAGAATAATAATTATGTGCAAATAATCACCTTTTATTTTATCATTGAATATTAAACTCTCCACAAAAATATCGAGTTAGGAAATATTTTGTTCGTTGTCGATTTCGAATCTGTTTACAAATAATTTTATTTCGATATGCATAAATGATCTAAATAATGCAAATATCATTAAGCCTGATATTATTATGGAGAGCTTAGCAATTAATAAAAAATAAATAGTGAATATTCGTACACAATTTTTAGTCTTTTATAATTTATTCTTTATGTTTTTTTTATTAAGTTAATTGTGGACAGTTCTTAATTACCTTCGTTATTTCCATGGTCAATTTATTTCTTCGAGAATAATTATTTAATAATGCGTAGTTCAAATCAAACATTACTTATACGACAATATTGACTTCATGAGTAATTGAAACGTAAACCATAAACATATAACTATATGTACATACATATCAATTTTTCAGCCCTATGCACTTTCTCAGATCATTTTAAAAGTTACAATACGTACCTCCGTTAAATTTGCATGATCGAATATTTTCTAAACTATCAAGGCTTCAAGTTATTCTAAAAGACAAATAAAGAGGAGGAAATGTTTTCAAGACTTATATATCTGTAGAGTTTAGCATGGCATGAAAAATAGTTGAATATTTTTACCTTATTTTTGTTCTTTAATTCAAATTGTTTTCACGTACTATTTGTTCAATTAAGAATTAAAAATTTAATTTATCTAATATAAAGTCATTTTATAATGTAGAGTTCAAGTCTGGAAAGCCTAGATGTTCTCGATAATTGGCTTATTTAAGGAGGCTCCAGCGTGGGAGGGTGTTGAAAAGTTTCAAAGTAAACTATAGTGTTTTTAATAGACGACGATGCGCTGAATCCAACGGTATAATTATTTACTAGGGTAGCCGTTGAAATTTTTGAGATATTTCGTCTTAAAGTTTGCGACTTTTACACAGGCTCTTATGGAAAGACGCGAAATTGTGTTACAATTTGATTATTCATGAATCGTATTCAAAGAGTTGCGAAACATAAAACCAACATTCTTATAGATAAAAGCTCGAACTTTCAGATGTTACGTTGAAAAATATGGGTAGCCGTGGAAAACTTTGAGATAATTTCAGAAAACCACTGAAAATGACCACTTTCTAGGTTATGTACGTTAAACAAACTCGCAGTTATTACTCTATACGTCATAATACAATATTTTATATGTTTGGAAATTGCATTATTCGATAATACGTTGCTTTGAAAACCGTTGTAACATTATTGTAGCAGTTGATAAAAAAGTTTATTGTTCGGTTGTGCCTTTGATTTCGGTGGTAGTCGCTGGAGCCCCCTTAATTGAAACCGTATAAAAGAAAAACAAATAGTCAACTGTCAGCTTAGGCCTGAACAATTTTGGGTTACTGATAATCATTTTTTTCACATAAACATTGAACTACGATTGTTCAATTGTTTGTATTGTTGAGATTTTCTTTGCATTAATTACGACCCCGTGAATTGCAATAGATTAACAGTGATTTTATTAAAATATTCTTCTGAATTAAGTGTAGAGATCAAAAATATTGATATTGGTGCACTTAACAAGTCTATGTACTTTATTTTGTCTCAACTTCAAAATTGAGAGAGTTGATTTTTGACGTTAAAAGCCACATAGAAAAATCATACAAAACTTTGAATTACAACGTCTTGCATAAAAGAGAGAGAGAGAGAAATAGAGATAGAGAGAGGAGGGAAATCCCAACCTCATATCTTTTATGCAAGACGTTGGAATTCAATGTTTTGTATGATTTCTCTATGCGGCCTTTAACGTCAAAAATCAACTCTCTCAATTTTGAAGTTGAGACAAAATAAAGTATATAGACTTGTTAAGTGCACCAATATCAATATTTTTGATCTCTACACTTTTTCCTCTACAATCAATAGTTTTTTAAATAAAGCCAAAATAAGGTTTTCCAGTTCGTAATGACAAAACTGGATATCCAGCTATTTTCAAGGAAAGTGACAATTATTAATGGTAGCTAATTATAAATATTATTTTATTATGGTATTTTCTCATACTAATTACCATGCAAAACCTGATTGAAAAATATTAACTAGTACTAAAGTTATAATGAAAAAGAGATATCATATTTTTAATTAGTCTGTGGTAATTATATCACCCATTGGATATGATATCTCTTTTTAATCATAACTTTAGTACTAGTTAATATTTTTCAATAAGGCTTTGCATGGTAATTAGTATGATAAAATACCATAATAAAATAATTTTTATAATTAGCTACCATTAATAATTGTAAATTTTGTTGAAAATAGTTGAACATTCAGTTTTGTCATTACGCACTGGAAAAACTCATTTTGGCTTTATTTAAAAAACTATTGATGGTAGAGGAAAAAGTGTAGAGATCAATAATATTGATATTGGTGCACTTAACAAGTCTATGTACTTTATTTTGTCTCAACTTCAAAATTGAGAGAGTTGATTTTTGACGTTAAAAGCCACATAGAAAAATCATACAAAACTTTGAATTACAACGTCTTGCATAAAAAAGAGAGAGAGAGAAATAGAGATAGAGAGAGGAGGGAAATCCTAACCTCATATCTTTTATGCAAGACGTTGGAATTCAATGTTTTGTATGATTTCTCTATGCGGCCTTTAACGTCAAAAATCAACTCTCTCAATTTTGAAGTTGAGACAAAATAAAGTATATAGACTTGTTAAGTGCACCAATATCAATATTTTTGATCTCTACACTTTTTCCTCTACAATCAATAGTTTTTTAAATAAAGCCAAAATAAGGTTTTCCAGTTCGTAATGACAAAACTGGATATCCAGCTATTTTCAAGAAAAGTGACAATTATTAATGGTAGCTAATTATAAATATTATTTTATTATGGTATTTTCTCATACTAATTACCATGCAAAACCTGATTGAAAAATGTTAACTAGTACTAAAGTTATAATGAAAAAGATATATCATATTTTTAATCAGTCTGTGGTAATTATATCACCCATTGGATA